AACTCAATATATAAACTTGGCCCGATGGAAACTCGAGCCCAGGACATTTGAAACTGCGGCTGTACATGCTAGCCCCTAGATCACCGAGGCAGTTATGAATATTATAGTTATACTTGCATTGCCCGCGGCTCCGCCCGCGTTCAGATGACCAAAAATCAAATTCTTAGATTTTACATATTAGTATATTCTTACAATGCAGTTTTTGTATCTTTTCTCAGAAATGAGATATTTTCCCGCGGTAAAAAGTATCCTATATGTTGACCCGGATAACCAGCTACCATCATACCAAATTTCATCAAAATCTGTCCAGTGGTTTTCTCGTGATGCGGTAACAAACAGACAGACAGACAGACAAAAATTCTAAAAACTATAGATTTGGATTCTGTATAGATAATAATGTCTATTTCAATTAGATTTTCCAAAAAATAATTAATGTACAGATTCGGCTTCGTTACAATTTTATTATATGTATAGATGTAATTTATTTACAGCTTGTATAATTTATAATAAAACAATATGTTTTTTTATACATCAATTCTTATATTTATGTAAATAAATTAGTCTAATAGGTATAGATTATACTTTAAAAGTAACGAAACCTGTGTTATTGAAATATAATTATCAAACTCCTTGCTTAGTGGCCCGTCGGTCGTCTAATGTCCATTCCATGTATCTAAGCGCATTACGACATACGACAAATTGTTTGTATAATTGCGGTTAGATGTAATTATTATATTGTGGAGCTATTTAACCTTTATTAATATGGCATTAGAGTACATTTTGCCAAACAACATTCTGGTGTTCTAATCTTGCATTAATATATCTCTTACTCTTAATTTGAATCATTAATAGGTTATAATTATTATAACTACGTCTATTTCTGAAATAATATAACGCCTACAAAAAGCAAATAGCAACGTCACGCTTGGAACGGCATTGTATATTTTGTTGCTTAGGCTTTCCTCCATAGAATTTCAAGAGTAAGCCGTTGTATTTTAGCGTACCGTTTTCATACTAAATTGTGTTTAATTTATACTTTTGTGTTGAACATAAATAGAATCACTCATTTTTAACATTTTACGCCCTAATCAAACTTTTGTGGCACGAAAAGCCAGTCCTGAGCATCTTATTGTTCATGTGATTGGCCAGAAATCACAAAACGTCACTTGACCAATGACGAGCATACCAAGCAAATATTTAAACGAATTCATATTATAAATATTGAAACGAAACTATATAAATTAATATTATGGCGAATTGCTATTTGAAAATTTGCAGTTTTATTAACTTCTATTTCAATTTAGTTTACTGTGGAGTGCGCGTGTTTCGCATATTTATTATAAAATAAAATTAAAAAAAAAGATTCAAACTATAATTAATTTTATTGCTTTATTTAAGGTAAAATCAATTTTATTGCTAAAATTTAATTATGTTAAATCTTCTCCTTTCAAGATTCAGCCTAAAAAGTTCTAATTAATTAAAAGAAACCTCCAAATCTTTGTTTCAGTCACAATATCATTAAAAATATATAATATACGTTTTTCTATTTTATTATACAGAATGTCCCCGGGTACCTATAGCGTGCGGCAACCAGCGGCAAATAACTGGGGCACGTGACATGTTTAGATATGTTTTGAAAAGTACCTTTTTTACAACTTGTTACAATAACATTAAATAAATAGCATTACATTCATTGGCCTTACTATGGCCTCTTAGTACACAGTACTCGTTTTATAACTACCTGTACCATACTGAAATTTGCTGCAAATGGCTGCGCGATGGTCAATATTATTTATAAAATAGCAGTTTTTATGCATGACTAGCATCAATAGGATATATAATTATTTTACAAAATTTGGAACAATTTGCTAAAAAAATAAACTGATAATATGAATATTACATAAAAAGTAATCTATTTATAGATTATTACATAGTGAACTCAATGAGGTTATTTTTTTATAATTCACTAGCATTGCCCGCGGCTCCGCCCGCGTTTAGATGACCAAAAACGAAATTCTTAGGTTTATATATTAGTATACTCTTACAATGCAGTTTTTGTATTTTTTCTCAGAAATGAGATATTTTCCCGCGGTAAAAAGTATCCTATATGTCGACCCAGATAACCAGCTATCATCATACCAAATTTCACCAAAATCTGTTTAGTGGTTTTCCCGTGATGCGGTAACAGACAGACAGACGAAAATTTTAAAAACTATAGAATCGGACACTGTATCGATAATAATGTCTATTTCAATTAGATTTTCCAAAAAATATTTAATGTACAGGTTCGACTTAGTTATAATTTTATTATATGTATACATTTTGAAACCTTCCCTTACTATCAGTAGAAAGCGCCCAAAACCTCTATATTGCAAATTGAACAACGCTCAGTCTACTGTAATGAACTAGATTTTACGCACCACCAAAATTTCTCTGAAGCCATCAAAGAGGAAAGCTTGCATGTTACAAATTAGTTCAAAATTTAGACTTTATTATGCGTTATATAATTTTCCCCTTAAAATGGAATCAAATAAATAAGTATCTCATCGGTTCGATTCCCAAGGCAATTAAAATTAAAACTTACGAAATTATAAAAATATCACACCAATGATTGATATAATTAAATAAATTGGTGAACGAAATGAGTCATCAGAATAAGTCATCAGGTTTCGACTGAAATAGCTCATTTGGGGACCGAATGATTTTTTTTTCTTTATTACAAAAAAATATTCTTATTAACAAAGGGTAATAAGGGTGCAGGTTGCTCCATATGCAATAATTGTTAGCTTTCTTAAAGCAATTATTTATAAAAATCTATACAAATAATAAACTTCTAATTGAGTAGAATCTGTATATTAAATATTTTTTGGAAAATCTTATTGAAATAATCAATATTATTGATACAGAGGCCAAATCTATAGTTTTTAGAATTTTTGTCTGTTTGTCTGTGACTGTATCACGAGTAAATCACTGGACAGATTTTGATGAATTTTGGTATGATTATAGCTGGTTATCCTGGTCAACATATAGGGTACTTTTTACTGCGGGAAAATATCTCATCTCTGAGAAATCTGTACTAAACGTTAAAACGTATCTAGGGACGAACCCGAGCAGAGCGAGGGTTAGACGCTAGTATAGTATACATATTATTACGTCATTATTTTATACGTAAAAAAGTAATATATCTAAGTAATAGTTTACTACTTTATTATTCATTCCCCTAAACTTGTTCTGCTAACCGACAATTATGTGGTTCCGGCGATCGTGTACCGCAGGCAAATAACGTGGGCACGTGACAGGTGTTCAGATGCGTGACTTGTTTTATTTAGTAGGGAAGCTCTTTATATAATATATTATATACTAGGTGCTATATGAAAATATAATTAAACTTACGAAATATAATAATGATAATAATACTTTATTTTCTCAAAAAAATGTTTAGGTACACGTGTGAATTAACATTTTTATCTTATTTTAGTTTTACATAAAAATTAATATTAATCGGATGCCTCTGTTGCCGTACTATGCCTGTTTTATGGCATAGGTATAGCGGACACCCCTCAAACATTGAATTATATAACATTACAATTTTATCTTAAGGCAGATTTTTCAAGATATTTTATAACTGTATTTCTTAGAGTTGCTTACATCAAAAGTATATATAATGTTAGTGCTGAAGTACAATAGTCATGTATTCTTATCATATCACTCATGTGTGTCTGCCTGTCCTGCAGCATGGACTAAAAAGAGTTAAAATTTAATAATTAGGTATATGTATTTGTATGTATTTAGCCCTTTTAACGTCCCACTACTGGGCAGAGGCCTTCCTTCTTTGTGAGGATTATGTCGTAGTCCACACCACGCCTAGCCAAGTGCGGATTGGCAGACTTTACATGACATATATATGTACATCTTTCGGAAACCTGTAAGATACTGTGTCTAAGAGAGGTTGCAGGTGTCTAAAAAGACATGCAGGCTTCCTCACGATGTTTTATTTCGCTGTAAGACGAGTGGTAACCATGTTGCAAATGATTATATAAGGATATAAAGTGACATAATGACAAGCGTAAAGAAATTAAATAACAAGTTTTACCAATCGCATTATGTATTCAATATAACAATGAAAGGTCTTGTAATTATACAAACATAAATATTCATAAGATTGTACATTTTGTAATAAAAGAAAATACAACTAAAGAAAAAAAAATACTCATACTCACTTAACAAGAACAGCATAACGAAACTCAGACTTTTCTTTAACTACCTTGGTGATCTAGCGGCTAGCATGTACGGGTGCAGATCCGAAGATCCTGTGTTCGAGTCCCAGTTCAGGTTAAGTTTGATTATTGAGTCTTTCTGTTAAGGAAATCCCAGTAACAGCACAGAGTTGGGAAGTTGTCGGTATTTCACCTCCGAGCCCCGGAGAGCACGTAAAACTATCGGTCTCGCGCCTTAAATCTCACCAGTCGAGTCTTAGTATCGTCCCATTAGACTTTGAGAGTAAAAGAATAGACAGGAATAGAGAGTGCACGTTGTGTCTGCGCGTACACTTGTGCACTATACTATCTCCTGCGCAGTTGGCTAGTCTCAATGAGATTGAATGAATGAGGAATCGGTTGGGAGGACATTATATTTAAACTTTCTTGTTGTGTCTTATGATTAATTATAATCAGATAATTGAAGAAGCATTTGTTTATATATTATAATTTCAGTGATATTAAATCCTAAAAAATATGATCTGGCTAGTTAATATCTATGTATCTGTCATACTTCCTGTGTGTCACGAAGCCCCGATACTAGACAACCTAGTGATTGTTTTGAATGATTAGCTTTAAGCTTTATATTAATTACAAAAAAATATCGAATAATTTCACATTATTTTATGTATACATTGAAATCTTAAATATATCGATTTCACAGAATTTTTACAAGTAAATAATAGACTAAAATTTGTTTCAGAGCGACTGCTGAGTGGTGACTTGATGGCGCGGTGACGCAGCATGCGCCGCGCGCACCTCGCCGCTCTACTGCGGCTTTTAATCATCGCAGGTTGGTTTATTATTCTTAATAGTATATACTATCAAATCGTCCAAGATTCGCTCAGGTACGTCCCTAGTCAAAAATAACATATCTATCCCACGGGAATCGTACATTTTTTGAGATAAAAAGTAACCTAAGTGCTATTCCAAGCTATAATATATCTGTGTGCCTAATTTAATTCAGAGCCGTTTAGCCGTTCTGGCGTGATTGAGTAACAAACATCCATAAATCCAAACTTTCGCATTTATAATATTTTATGATATTAACTGAAGTTTTTACTAATAATTTGTTTAGGACTAACCTTAAGGTATAACGTATTACTATGTGTTATCTTGTCGTGGTGGCGGGATTCGTTAGCGTTCGGCAATCCAGCCGGGCGTGAAGCCAAAAGACACACTGGGTGGCGGCCCACTCCATTGGGCGCTTTTCTATACGGGTTGCTCTTGCTATAGTCTGCCTCGGCAGACCAGCTGTAAGGGCTAAATAATCGTTATCGTTGAGTGCGTAAGCGATCCTGCGACTCTCCAAACCTAACGGAATCTCCCGTTGCGTTGGGTTTTAGTAGTACCGACTTTTGTGGCTTTTCTTTTATAGTATGTATGCATAAATACATTTCCTAACTACAAAAAATATAAACTAAATATTTCTTAAAAAAAGAATTTTGAAAATTAGTTCACAATTGAAAAACGTAGGTCACAGTAAACCTTAGGCCACAGGCCAAGAGAACCTCCTCTTTTTTTAACTCGGTCCAAAATCCCAATATTAAATTTTATTTAGTCATTAATTTCAGGCAATATTTACAAAAAGATCTTCAATATGTAAACATAGGCCCATAACATATATACCTATTAATTTAAAACTTAAAAACTATAATATTGCTAAAATATTGCTGAACTGGTTTTACTTTATCACTCACTGTACTTCAAGATTGGGAAAATGTCTAAAATAATGGTACTGTTGCATAGTAAGGGGATATCTATTTTCTATGTGTAACATTTTCACAATCTCTCACATTTATAATATTCACAGAATGAATGGATTTTTTTATTCTATTTTTGTGAAATATTTCAAGTTAGGTTTGTACCTAACCTTAAAAAACGTAAAAGTAAAACATTAAATACGTAAGACATTTTTTCATACTTTTTTAACTAAAAAAGTTTGTGAAAGTTGACGTACAAGAACTATTGTACTATTTGTAGGTAGTCTGGTAGCATTAGTACACTGTAATTAAATTGTCATTTAAAGATAATTTGACATTTTTGTGAGGCCTTCGGTTTTTTGTTATAGCTTTTAGTAATCGATACATATATGATAAAATTGTAACTGAGTCGAATCTGTACGGTAAATATTGTTTTCTAAAATCTTATTAAAATAGTCAGTTATCGATACAGAGGCCGAATCTATAGTTTTAAGAAATTTTTGTCTTTCCGCCTGAGAACGCATCACGAGAAAACCACTGGACAGATTTTGATGAAATTTAGGGGACCATGAGGGACAAACCCAAACAAAACGAGGGTGAGTCGCTAGTTAAACTAAGAAAAATACGAATACTACTTTGCCTAACATAAAAAATTCTAGGCGAAATTAATTAAATTATATAAACCAGTCAAAGTAGATTGATTATAATTATAAATATGTAGTAAATTATATATACCACTAATTCATGGATATTCTTACCTATAAATAGAACCCTATTTTGACCTACGATGTACAAAGTATCACAAAGAGATTTTAAAAAATATCAAAATAAGCAAAAAGAAATAAATTTTATTTCTTACTAAGAATTCACGTGAATATTTGACTCTAAAAATAAGTAACGGTAGACATTAGAAAATCTCTTTCAATAAAAACTTTGAAATAAAGCAAAAACAAAATATATTTAAGAATGAAATAGTAAAACAAATTCCAGCAAGGCGTGGTTTCAGACTTATAAATCGTGCCTAATGTCTTTAGCCCCCGGCTTGTAATTGACCCATCGATGGCTTAGCCTATTTTGCAGACCTAGATTTTTGCCTAGAGCTATTTCTGTTCGGACTCTGTTTATAAAATGTCTTAGGTTACAATTTTTTTGTATATATTAAACAAAATGTATGTATAAAGAAAATCAAACCTAACCTGAGTTGAGAGTAAGTAAGGGCTAATACAGCTACGAAAATAATTCATATGACGCAATTTTTCTCGGGTAGGTCATATTGGAGAAAAAAAACCTATATTGCTTCTTCAATACGCACAAAACTTTTCCGTTTGGGATTTTAAAATTATTAAAAAAACAAGTAGCACCTTATTCGACACCAGATTCGGCTTAGTTACAATCTAAACATATAATAAAATTCTAACTAAGCCGAATCTGTACATTAAATATTTTTTGGAAAATTTTATTGAAATAGATTTTGATGAAATTTGGTATGATGATAGCTGGTTATCCGGGTCAACATATAGGATACTTTTTACCGCGGGAAAATATCTCATTTCTGAGAAATAATACGAAAACTGCAATGTAAGAGTATACTAATATGTAAAACCTAAGGATTTGGTTTTTGGTCATCTGAACGCGGGCGGAGCCGCGGGCAATGCTAGTTTTATTATATGTATAGATATAACTTCATCTGCAATGCAATTCACGACCTAATAAAACGTCTCAGACGCGAAATCGTAGTGGAAAATCTTATATTACGCTTAAGAAGATGTAAAATACGCAATTTGTATAAACCAAGGAATTTATTTCGCAAATAAAACACCTCATTCATCTCAGCTTTATTCCAAACATCTTAATTTATATAAACGATACCAAACCGGAGAGTCCAATGTAACTTGGCATGTCACTTTTCAACAACCTGTTTAAAGTATGTAATTTCAAACGATCGTCAAAGCGTTGGAGACCTTTATAGGCTAGTTCCACACCGCCCTAGACGCATCAATTATGGCGTGTTTCATTTGAAAGTCTTGATACCTTAAAACAGGGTATTTTAGAACGGGATTTAGACGGAATATGTTACAGAATTTTTTTCTCTACATTTACACTTTGCGAATTATCCCTCCGCGCACAGCTAGTTAGCGTATAGTTCAGTTTACAAGTTTATTTATATATATATATATATATATTTTTATATTAATTGTTTATTTTTTTATAGATTCGACCATATTTTTGGCTACTGAATAAATGATTCATTCGTTAAGAAGCTTTGTGTATAATTTTGATTGTATTTTCGCTTGTGAATTATCATTTTGGTGTTAAAACTTTTGAAAAAACTTACGAAGTCTAAATAACAAAGTGCAAATAAATTGTTCCCATAATGTGGCGCTCTTAAAGCTCTGTAACTAATTTTGACAAAGTAGAAACTAGTATCCAGTTCGTATTTTCCTGTTACCTTCATTTATTATCGGCAGTCATATGAATCTAACGATAGCTCATTCATCACAATCAGGCATCAGTTTGGACGTGAGGACGGACCTATAGACTAATGAACCTCTATGTCTGTGCACATATGGCCTGACTTAGTGGGGCTAAAGCAATTTGATATTAATTTCATTCTTAAGCATCAAAGTATGTACTTTATATTATCCTTCTTTTAGTTATATAAATAAATTAATATCTTGGGATATTAACACACAGCACTATCTACTAGTTCCATAAGCTACGAGACTTGTTATGGATACCAGATAGTTGATACACTATACATATATACTTGTAACTTTAAATACATACATATTATAAACACCCTTGGCTGGAGTACAAATATTCGTGCTAATCGTCACAAATGAATGCTCCCAGCGGGACTCGAACCCACGACTGCTGGCACAGCAAGTAGGGTCACTACAAACTAAGCCAAACGTGTCGTCAATGTAGCTGATTAGTTAACTTCTGATAATGTTAAATGTTAGCTGGTATAAAAGCAGTACTTTTTTACAAGTTACGAGTAAATACATACACATTGTTACATGTAACATAAAAATTGTGAAAAAAAACAGCTCAGTTTGTCAGTATTTCACAGTTCGTGATTAAATTACTTTAGCCACATCTTTTAATCTCTTTGAGGTTGGATTTTAGGAAATCCTTACATAGTGTCCATATCATTTGTAAAAACAGCAGTCGTGATTTCTGCTCTTTAAGTCCAGAGGTATGGTATAGGTAGGTATAAATCACACTGCCAGTACTTGAGATTTAACATAAGACTGAAAAAATATTTTTTTCGACCAATACATTTTTCTTTTACCAAAACGATTTATCCCCATCCGGACTGTTTTACACTCCATTAACGACGATAACTGATTCACTAAGTTTTAAGGGATGCCCATTCCATTCATTGAACTGGTTCGTAGGCTAATGTCGAAGTTTATTATTAATATTTATGGTTCTTTACAATTTTCCGGAAATCATAGAAGGTTGACTTTTTATTATAAAGTCGGGAGTTATTATAAAGTTGGAGGGTATTACAAAGTCTAATTAATCATTGTAATGAATAGAAGCTTTTACAAATATTCAGACAGCTTTAATTTCTTTAATGAAATTCAATTAATAAATTTTTAATCCCTCCACTTTTTTTTGATTTCTTAGAAATTTAATGAATTTCTTAAAAAATTACCTGGAGTGAAAGTTTTGTTTTTTCTTACAGGCGGCGCCAGTTTTGTAAACCCATATACAAACGAAGAGCGTTTCGATCTTAACCAAGTATGGCTCGAGATACCCACCACTCTCGTCGCTCTAGGAGGAGATGTGCATGTGTTCGTACGAGGCGTGACTACTGGTGCTTTGCGGGTACGCCTCGCGCGAGAAGACGACGAAGGCAGGACACTCCTTGCTACTATGCCATTGGCTCTAGATGCCGAGAACCGCATGACTTTGCCATGTGGTTACTTCTCTAGAGGAGGCGTTTACTACATAGAAATTGTAGCGGACAAAGAAATTTTCATGGAATACGAAAACTCAACAATTAAAGTGAAAAGAGATATAACTGATGGCGGAGTCATGGAAACTGGAGACAGCATGGTGAAGTCCTGGAAGTTCGATGTAATGTGGCCCACTGCCAACTTAGATGTTACCCCTGAACAGATACAAACATATCCAGAAAGGCAAGTTACAGCGATTTTGGAGTTTCCAAAGGTGGTGTGCACTCCAGTGGAGACTACTGCAGATTATTGGTTGGAATTGTTGTATTGTGGACATTCTAGTGGGGGTGCCGTTTTGTGTGATGGGAAAAATAGCAGTTCACACGCCCATGTTCTGTATTCAGAGCAGGTACGTATTATGGCGAGGAACTCGTAGATGTTATTAATTAATACGCTTTTTTTTGTTACACTTGAACCTTTCTCCCCAGAAACTTATACTTTATTTATTTTTTATGAATATTCATATAAAAAGTAGAGCTTAAAATATTAATTTTCAATCAAGCTTAAGATGTTTACTTTGCATAAATCAAAATTAATGACTTTAGTTTACATTTTCCAAGGTGAAGGTCTACTATGATTAATGATGTCATATTTGCCTATCATACGTCGTTAATAAATTAAAAATATTTATATTATAGTTTATAATCAACGAAAGTAGTACCTATGTTTAATTATTATTTTTACATAAACCAAGATCAATCAAGAATACTCCTAGAAAGCTTAATAATAGCTTTTTATGAATCAACACTATCACTAGTTTAATATCGATTGATACAACTTTCCACTGTTAGTATTGAATATTAAATTATATGCAAAAAAATGTCTTATAAGTCAGTAAAAACGACCTCATTTTTACATAATATGTTGGCTCACTATTACAAGGTTCTATGTTACAATTTTAGTACTTATTTAGTTATTAATGCTACAAGGTTCTATGTGTCATTAGCTACAGTTTTGCAAAAACGAACCACTAGATAGTGGCACTTTAGTTACAAAATATTCAATTTTACATAGTTCTATGTTGTTTTTTTTTAAGATAACAACACAACGAAGATCTATGTAAAAATTACTAAACTTCATTAAAATTAACTTAGAACCTTGTAATAGTAAGCCAACGTATTATGTACTCCATTACATTATTGTAATTCTAACAAGTAAGGAAAAAAGCTTAATTTTTTATGACTCATTGCACACAAAGGGTTTCGAGTCCAATTTAAATGTATTCTCCAGATGTACGGGTTCCCAGGACGACGAACTATGACGCTGCGATGCGAACTGTTCGGGCAGGCGGGGGATTACGCATTGACGTTACGGCCGGCGGCGGCTGCCGGGCCTCAGGACCTGGCTGTTGCCTTTATAAAGGTTAGTACAATGATAGTGATAAGTCTGTCTCGGTGGTGTAGTGGCTAGCATGTACGGCTGCACACCCGGAGGTCCTGGGTTCGAGTCCCGGGTTGGGCCAAGTTTAGTTACTTTCTGTATAGTAAGTCTCAGTAACATCCCGGAGTTGGGAAGTTGGCGGTGTTTCACCCCCGTGCCTCGGAGAGCACGTAAAGCCGTCAGTCCTGCGCCTTAACTCTCACCGGTCGTGTCGAGTGGTCGTCCCACCGAAGTATGAGAGTGATAGGAATAGAGTGCACTTGTGTGTGCGTACACTTGAGCACTATAATATCTCCTGCGCAGTTGGCTAATCTCAATGAGATTGGCCGCCGTAGCCGGGATCGGCTAGGAGAACATCATCATCAGTGATAAGTAATGTACATATTGAAATGAATGCCATTTTAAAGCAGTTTCTTCATAATAAGCTTAAATATTTATTCGTATACAAAAACCTAAATAACTAATGTATTTATACTTACAAGTATTTATACCATACCTTTAGTATCTTTCTATTTGTATTTGGCAATTTTTGGAACAGTGGAGAAGTTTCCCATGTTTTTTTGTTTTAATTAGGTATAAAAAACCGACTTCAAAGAAAAGCACTAAAAAGTAAAAAATAACTGATTGGTAGTTTTCATTTACTATACATACCTAATCAAATATTTTCGAAGTCGGTGTGCTTTGGCTAAGTAATTAAAGCCTACCTATTAAATACATACCTAATCAAATATTTTCGAAATCGGTGCCAGCCCATACAAAGCAAAGCACACCGACTTCGAAAATATTTGATTAGGTATGTATAGTAAATGAAAACTACCAATCAGTTATTTTTTACTTTTTAGTGCTTTTGTTTGAAGTCGGTTTTTATTTTTTTGTTACAAAGTTTTTATTTTTCCCTTTTTAGTGTAGACAGTAGTAGCAAAGTAAGAATTCTAACGTGTTAGGCTCGTCAAATCAAACAAAATAAGCCAAAACTCAAAGTGTCTACTATTAGCCGTTGAAGAGTTCCACCTATCCACCTTCTGGCCTTACCATCAGATCAGATCAACAATACTGAACCACTGTACTATCAACGGAAACAGAAACACTTGCAAAGTTTAAGTTAATATGACAATTAGAAGTAGGTTAAATTCATCATTACCTATTTTTCCACCCTTAGAGGTGGTTTTTTTTTTTCAAATTTAAATGGGACCAATCTGGAAGTATACCCTATCAAACAAAATAAAAATTGTCCAAATCGGTTAATAAATGACGAAGTTCTGAGGTAACAAACATAAAAAAAATACAGTCGAATTGAGAACCTCCTCCTTTTTGAAGTCGGTTGAAAATTAAGTAAAATATAACAAAAATATGAAAATAATATTAAAATATCTCAACAAATGAAAAATTTATGGAACTTTAAAGTTGGGCTTGTAATAATAATTTTGTGACGTGTTTGTGCAATTTATTGATATATGTATTCCAAAAATTAAAAAAAAGTTATTGGCGATTGAAGTTTTGTTTGAGGGAAACATAAGCTTATTTACCCGATAATCCATACTAATATTATAAATGTGAAAGTTTGTGAGGTTTTGTGTTGTGATGATGGATGGATGGATGTTTGTTACTCTTTCACGCTAGAACGGTTGAATGGATCTGCATGAAATTTGAAATTCTTGAATAGCACAGATATTATCCCGGAAAAATGTACGGTTCCCGTGGGATAGATTTGTTTTTGTCTAGAGACGAATCCGAAGTGAGTGTGAATCGCTAGTTTTTAATCATTTTGGTAAGATTTGTTACTGAGCATATATATGAGCTAAATAAATGATTTATTATATATTTATAACTACAGAAAAAGACAACTTTATGTATAAATACAAAGTGCACAAGCCATTTGATACAATAATGTTCCATACACAAATATAGTTTTGTGTACCGTCGATTAAACCAAAATGCAATAGTCAGAAGAAACCTCCCACAAAATTTCACTCTCACCATGACATATGTGACATTTATAACGTTCTATTCGACCCAGTATTGCGGTAAAAGCCCATACAATCTACATACATAAATATTATAGAGATTTATATACTACGAACTTGTGCCTTGGCTGTGAGCCATAAAAATTTCTTCTTTAGAGACTTAGCCAAATAACAAAATTTTTGTAATTATGTACGAATTATAAGATATAATTAAGAGAAATAAGATAAAAAACGACTTTCAACGAAAAAATTAACCAATCTACAAAATTCACTTATAAGTAGGTAAATGAAAACTTTCAATTTTATGTATAAAAAAAACTCCATTCTATTAGAAATTTTTCGTCAAACAGAGGATTATTTATTTATAACTAGCGGACCCGACAGACGTTGTCCTGTCTACACGTCTTTAATTTGAAAATTTCAAACTTTTTTTAATAATTTTTTTGATGAAAATTATTATTCAAATTGTGAATCTAAACCATTCCCAGATCCCCTTGAACACACACACAAAAAATTTCATCAAAATCGGTCCAGTCGTTTGAGAGAAGTTCAGTGACATACACACTCACAGAAGAATTATATATATAAAGATAGCCTCAAAAAAAACGAATGGCTTACATTATATTCGCCTGCGTCAATTGATTGATGAAATTGAAAAATTCAGTATCGTAGTCTAAAAGCATTTACGTTTTGACAATATTTTATTTAGATTCATTGGGTTCAAATGTTTATTGCGTCAAATAAAACCCCTTTTTTTCCATCTTCACGTAGTTACACATTTCATTCGTTATTTGCTATCGAACGGTTTACTGTAATATAGGATCGGTTGATTCCCAATAGGATGTAAAACGGGATATGAGGTATTTGTGCAAAATTTGAAATTGCTTTATACATGCGGATTGACGTGCGATTTTCTCTGCTTTGTTTATTATTTACTATAAATTACCTCTTTGGTGTAGAAGCTGGCATCTACGGCTGCGAAATGTGAGGCTCTGAGTTCGAATCTCGTGTTGGGTCAAAATGGGTTTTCTGTCACGAAATACACTGAGTACCTATTAGTTGTCGAGATTCCCGGAGATAGGAAATTGACAGTGTATACATCCCCGTGCCTCAGAGAGTACTTTAAGCTATCGGTTCTTCATCTTATCTATTATCATGACGAGTTATCGTTCCAATGGAATATGACGGATAAAGGAATAGAGAGTACACTTGTGTCGCGCACACACTTGTGGTAGCTAGCTGTGGGGGTGGTTTCTTTGAGTGTATGTTTTTTCTGTATATGTTACACGATATATCCGCCAATTTTGAACCATTTTTTATAATTCTTTGTTGAAATGAATAAGTTATTAAGAATTCTAATCTAAAAATCTCCTGGGATGGCATTATTACTTTTAAATTAATGTTGCAATCGATGTACATTTTTAGTAAAAAACAAATTATAAGTTAAACTTCTTTAGGTTTAGGTACAATGATTTTAAATTAGGTTTGCGAAATCTTTTCAGAATTGAAAAGGCTTTTAATTTTATTTCATTATACATTATATTGAAATTGTGAAGAAATTACTATATAAAAAATCATCTCTTACAATTTTTTTTATTGAAAACACTGGAGCTCGTCAATAGCTATTAAACAAACAAAAAAGAAAATCGGTTGAAAAACAGACGAGAAAAATATATTGAACTGTTGTCTTTGCCTATTATGTGTATTCTATATAGTAAGCTACTTTCTATCCTGGTATATCAAATGTATCCTGTGGGATAGCGACAAGTTTAAAATAAATAAATATATTGGGACATTAACACACAACATCATCTAATTCCATGGCTTGTGTTATGGATACCAGATAGTTGATACATTACACATATATAACTTTAAATACATACATATTATAAATATAAACACCCATGACTGGAGTACAAACATTCATGCTTATCACCACAAATGAAAGGCCTCAACGGGACTCGAACCCGCAACTGCACAGTAAGTAGGGTCACTACAATCTGAACCAAACGTGTCGTTATTCAATCTATTGATTTTATATTGCACCGCTATGAAAAATATCTGTGTAAATTCTTTCGGCTTTATTATAATAATGTTGCGCAATGTGTCAAAATAACTGAGTTATCTTTACCTAATACTTTCTTAGATTTATGCGAATATTTGACATTCTAAATAAAACTATCTTTTCGGATTATTTCGCGGATTTATTTTGATTTTTGGTTCCCAACGTTTCTGTCTGTCTGTCTTTACCTTTTTTTTTCTTTAATGGCTTAAAGTTGCGTTAACAGGCGCAATATATTCTGCCGTCATGTATTGTGTGTCCTCAAATCAAGTTTGAATAAAAATATGCAAAAAGTAACTAAAACATGCTAATTAGATACACTTTAAGCTCGAAATATTTGCTTTATTTGCGTACATGAGGGATCAAGTTATAGATAAAATACATAAGCTATTGTATGTTATTCATCAATACCAACAAAGCCTACACAAATAGAAACTTGTTACGTGGCTTGGTATAGTTGAGTAAACATATCGAACATATTCTAATATTATATTCTTGGTATGTACTACAATATCCTTATATGTGAATGCTAATAGCTGTGCTATAAGCTGAAGAGTTAGTTTATCTGTTTATTTGAACACCTTTTTATAGTATTTAACACTATACTAGTTTTTGGCCGCGATTTCGCTCGCGTGATAAATGGAACGGGGATCTAGGATATCCTGTCAATCAGGATGTAATTCATGTCGTTGCTAAATTTTATCAAAATCTGTTCAGTCTAAGCGTGGAAATATAAAAGACAGATTTGTTTTAGCTGAGCGTTAGTGGGTACTACGCAGTTTTTACTATAGTAGTCACTATGGTAAATATCTTAAGTTGTAAATGTTCTTTCATGTTCCAAGTAACTGGGCGACCGAGCTTCGCTTAGAGTTTTTTTTTGTGATATCGTATTTTTTAGACTAAAAAAAAACTAAAAACTTGAATAAATATAAAAAATATCAAAAGTAAAAACTTTATGTTGGACCGGGATTCGAAGCCGGACCCCTGTGATTGTTTATCCTTACACCACTTGACCACGATGCTTGGTGTGAAATTAGGGAACATATTTTGCGTGGAATAATGCGATGCAAAGTAAATTTAATATATTTCGACACGTAAAATACATATTTACCTATTAGATATTCATATCTTAAAATATTTTCGGCTGGCACCGACTTCGAAAATATCTGATTAGGTATCTATTCTAAATGAAAACCTCCGTTTAGTTATTTTTTACATTTTAGTGGCTGGAAGTCGGTTTTTATTTTTTGTTAAAAAGTTTTTATTTTTCCATTCTTAGTGTCGACGTAATAAGCAGGTAATTTGCAAGAAGAAAGCTTTTTAATAACATATTCGATTAAACAATTTATTTAAGAAAAATATTTATTGTTGATTTTTTAAAAAACCGCTCGACCGATTTCGATAATATTTATATGGGAAGTATACCCCTTGAAACAAAACAAAAAAAATCCAAATCGGTTCAGGCGTTTTGGAGTAATCAGTGAACATACATAAAAAAAAGAAAAAAAAGATTCCGACGAATTGATAACCTCCTCCTTTTTGGAAGTTGGTTAAAAATAATAGATATCTTCTAAATATGAATATATATATATCACTTACTTTTCATATACACAATGAGTTATCTAGCTTTACATATGTATGTATAATATGTACATAATATAAATGAAAAAATATATCAGTATTTTTCAGGAATCGACTCGCTCGACATCGTATATAAAACCTAGTTGTATAAACGGCACTCTGTTACTTTTGTTTTGGCTGCCGAGCCCGATGAGCTTTTTATGATCTCATATTTCGCGAAGTGCGCTTTAGAATTGATACCGCTTATAACTGCTGAGAAGGAAATTGCTAATAAAAGCTTCGAATATAAATGGTGGGGAAAATAACTCTTCGTATTTCGTTTATTAGAATTGACTATCTAGCAAGGTTGTTCCTGTTGAGCGTATTTAGTGTCTAGTTTAGGTTATTGCTATGGATTTTTGCGCTTTTCTTTATGGGGCAATTCCCTTTCAAGTTAATTAAGTATCTATAATCTATCTGTTTTAAAAGTGTATAATCTGACCATGTGACATAAATTTTCCAATAATGATAACGTTTGTAGAATGTTGTCTTATCTAAGCTACAGTTACAGCTAAGGAGAGAGTATAAAGGTATTTAAAAGTACTGAGTTATCGTCCTCTCACTTAATATAATACGGTAGCTTATATTTGGGGGCCAGTGCAGATAAAAATTCTTCTAAATCCTCCATAAATAAAAAGGACGCACTCAAGCATACACGAACACACATACACTCACACAAAATTTCGCATTTATCATATTAGTAATAATAGATATATTACATTTATAATTTTAAATACATTTAATTTCTGTGTGCAGGCGGACTGGTCAGAACAATTTGTACTGAATGTGCACGGCGGTTCAGTGTTCCCGTGTGGAGATGGAGTACGGGTTCTCTTTCAATATCCAGAATGCGTGTTGGAAGGAGCAGACAGAGTACGAGTCTTTGGAAGGGATTCGGATAGGTTGCGGTATGTCGCTGAGAGGCGCGTGCGCAGGTAAAGTGATCAGTATCTCTGAATATATCTTACTTTTATCATAATTTTGTTGCACTTTTGATCATGGAGTATCTGGTTCACTGGTAGTCTGGAACTTTGAACAATGTTCTTTTAGACAATATCTAATTCCAATTTCGATTTCGAAAACATTTTCGATAGTACAATCCTTTTGAATAAAATTTGTTTGGGTTCATATCTTGCATCAGGGGTTTTAATAACAAAGGCGGCAAAGTCCCATACAATTTCACTGGACTTTGGATGGATTGCCTTATCATATTATATTATAATAATGTTTTTTATCGTTGTTTATTGTTTTATTATTTTCTTACAAAAGATATAAAACCAGGCATATTAAGACAAAATTTACTGCGTACATTTTTTTGGTACTAATTGGATTCTATTTATTCATTCAATCATTCATTCATTATAATCTTATTTGACTTTGTATGAATATATGTACGAATTCATTCTCAAAGTATTTACTAAGAAATCATAGAAACTACAAAAAAAACTTTGAACACAATAAACAAATAAGTTATCAAAACCGCAATATCCATTTACTTTTGCCGTAAGTTTACTTCTAAGTTAAATTAAGAATTTTATAGTCACTAGTAAAATTGTAATACAACTGAGGTCTGATACTGATTATTTTGTTATTGGACCTGAAACTAATTTATAAATGCACCTACATCCATACTAATATTATAAATGTGAAAGTGTGTTTGTTTGTTTATCTTTCGTCCACGTTGAAACGTAGTGACGGATTGGCGTGATTTTTTTGTGTGGAGATAGTTGGAGGGCTGGAGAGTGACATAGGCTACATTTTACCGTGGGAGATAATCTCATTCTCACGTTACAACACACACAACAACACAGCCCAAATTATTTATGATCAGAATTACTTGAAACTTGGTATTAATCTTCTTCAATACAATTAAATAAATACGTGTTTTAGCTTTTTCGAAATTCATTCTATAAGAGGGTAAAATAGGGGGTTGAAAGTTGATATGAAACCAATTTTTTTAGAGATTTTCTGTAGTTTTAGCGCGAGCGAAGCCGCGGGTTCTCCTAGTAATATATAACATCACTTACTGATTAATTACGAAATCTCAGAAAAATCTTGAATTTAGCACGTAGAGTATCATAGAGAGTACCTAGTTATCCTTTAAGAAAGGACTATGCATAAACTGTTTATGATTTCCGTGCATAGTCACATGCACGGGAATCGAACCAACTGTCTTCCACCTAAGTTGATCCACCCCAATTTCATTTTATTCTAGAAAATTTTGATATTATTTAGGTTTAAAGAATAGAATGTTTTTTTTCTAACAGAGGTCAACACACAGCGTCTTTCGACTGTCGGCTATTTAGCGAGCGGTATCCAGAGTACTGCTTTGTATATGTATCCCAAGCTGTGACCGGCGCGGTGGCTGACGTGAGGATGGATTGCCTCCCCACTTTGCCTATATCAGGTATGTATTCAGGTATTGCAAAAAATTATTAGAACTTTACGAGCCCTAAAAATGTTTTATTTACATGTTGTATAGTAAAATTTAAAAAGATATCTCCAATAAAAACACCATAGAAATTGATTACAGTTTTATTTTTGTATTCGGTTAAAAATCAAGCTGTTGGCTTTATATTCATATTTTTGTTGTTATTTTTTTATATGTATTAGGTAAGGTAGGCTATTGTAGTATTAGGAGAAAGTTCGTGTTATTACGGGTATCAGAGTTCAAACTCAACTTTGAGATTACTGATTCGAATTTTAATTCTTACACTAATAGGAAGTCACATCGGCGAGTGCTCTGGCTTTTATTCCGATGGCATCATTTCTTTTTTATTCCGATTAAAATTTTAAAATTTTAAGGATTTACCGTAAAAAAATAAATAATTCTAATTGAAATCAGAATCAAAGTGGCAGTTGAGTTGCTTTGTTAGTGTGTGCTGCCTAAACAGAAATAAAGAAATACAATGTATGACAAAAAGATTCAGGCGACGACTAGAGGGTAAGTCGTTAATATTTTTTAAAGCAGACGGGGGTGCCGGGGGATGGGGCGAGTGGTCAGCATGGTCGGCGTGTCCTGCGCCCGCGCACTGTTCAACGCGCACGCGCAGCCGACATCGCTTCTGTGACTCCCCTCCACCTGCGTATGGTGCTAAGTTTTGTGAGGTACTTATATTGGTATTGTTACTAACTTAACTTTAAAAAAACTAACTATAGAATATTTTTTATTTAACTATAAGTACTGTTAATACTTTCTTAGATTTACGCGAATATTTGATATTTTAAATAAAACTTTCTTTTCGGATTATTTCGCGGATTTATTTTGATTTTTGGTTCCCGACGTTTCGAATGCTTTACAGCAATCATGGTCACGGGAGAGACTGAGGTGTTAAATGTCTCAAACACTTCTAACCTAGACAGACAGCCTATCCACAATTTTACAAAAAGATTTCAAAAAATCAAATATTATGGCACCTACTTCGAAAATATCTGATTAGGTATCTATTCTAAATGACAACCCTCGTTTAGTTATTTTTTACATTTTAGTGGCTGGAAGTCGTTTTTTTTTAAGGTTTTATTTTTCCCTTTTTAATGTAGACGTAATAAGCAGGTTATTTGTAAGAATAAAATTTTTAATAACATATTTGATCAAGCAATTTATTTAAAAAAAAGCAAAAGCAATACCTATTAAAAAGTCAAAGGTATCGCGTAATATGTTCATAAAAGTTCAGGAAGTTCTTTTTCGAATTCTTTGCCGAATTCGATATAATATAATAATATTATAATATAATATTATAATTAATATTCGATATAATAATATAATAAATTTCTTTAGTGGATTATATTTACTTTTAAAATAAACGTTGTAAACCTTTATTTTTTTATTTTTTTAAATCTAAGTTCATAATTTACAAAATCATTTAATAAAAACATATTTTATTAATATGTTTTTAAAAAGAAATACGTTTTTGATAAATTCTTTTTGGTTAATATTTAAAATGATTATCGAAATAACACCGTTTCTAAGACAAACGTATCACAGCAACCGTCTAATCAATAAAGTAGTGTCAATACTCGCGACGAGTATTACACTTGATTCATTTCGTAGTTAATTTTTTCTAATACATAACTATGGCTCCTAAAAAAGATAAGGGAAAGGGAAAAGAAGAAGAAACACATAAAGGCGGGGGAGGAACCTTTACTGAAGTTGAGAGAACGTTTTTGGAACTCCAAGTAGCGGAATGCAATAGAAAAATTGCTAGGCTGCGAACTGCAGTAGATGAATATGAGCAACGAAACGACGAACTCCAAAAAGCTTATGATAAACTTGACGAAGATAGAGCTGACATTATTGCATACTTGAAAAAAACATTGAACCTCAAAAACGACGAGAATAATGAATTAAAAGAAAAAGTAAAAGGCTTAGAGGAGACCAGAGAAATTGAAACTGCACAATTCAAAGAGACAGTTACAGATTTGGAAAGAAATTTTACGATAATGAAAGATCAATTGACTTCAGAAAATAAACTATTGGCTGGAAAGTTAAATACATTGGAAGAGTTCAGAGCAATTCGTGATGATTTGATGAAGAAATTTGATAAACAGGAACAAGCTTTCAAGGACCAGGAAATGAAATATAAAAGAATAATTTACGACGCTGAAAAGAAATTTGTGATTGGTAAAGATAAATTAAAAAAGGAAATGGAGGGTCGCCTTTTACAACTGGCACAAGACTTCCAAGATGCTACAGAATTAAGAATAGCTGCATCAACACATAGAGTTATAAGAGAAAATATAGCGATAAATAATGAACTTGACAGTATTTTATCGACACAAGCAAAACTGGCCGATCAAAATGAAAAATATAAGGAAACTGAACGTGCTGCTAAAGTTGCCATGGAACTAGCTGAAGAAGAAAGAGATAAAGCTATAAATAAAAACGTCATACAACTTAAGGTTATTGATCAATTAACTACAGCTTTTCAAGAGATTAAGAAAGAAAAGGCGTTATTTGAAAAAAGGAATTATGATTTTGAAATATTGCAAGCGAAAATTCAAAAACTTGTAAAAGAAAACGAAAATCTCTCATTGCAGGTCCGTATATTAGAACAAAACCTTCATGCGCGAATGAGTGACCAAAATAAAGCTAGAGTAGAGGCTTCAAAAGTAGCAAAAGAATGTGCTAAATTTAAGACAATACTTAAAGAAGCAGCTATTGCTGTTCAAGCAGCATTAAAACTCGACAATTGGGCTACTAAGGATCCATCAAGAGAAATAATGGACAGGCAGGCATTATTATCTCAACTGCTTGATATTATCACACAATACCATGAGATACAACGAGCTGAATCGACTGACACACTTGCATCATTAGAAAGAGTTTACGAAGAAGGTGATCTAGGCTTTATACCAAAACCAATTCAAAAAAAATCAGCAACCTCTGCTATATCTGTTGTTTCTAAGGTGTCGATTAAAGATGAAAAGGGAGTGTCCGAGATTTCTCTGTCTTCATCTTCATTGGGAAGTATTAAGACAATACCGAGTATTAAGTTAGTTCCACCTTCTACTGAGCCTCCGGTATCTCCTAAGGATAGTTTACCATCTTTCGTTACATCCACAAAGTCTACTATTAGCAGTGAAGCTGAACCTGAAGAAGTTCCGGAACCTGAAATGAATATTGAACAGCAATTAGAGGCCAGTAAGTTAGAGATTCAAAAGTCTATATTAAAGGACTTGCAATATTCACAAATGGTTATGCACTCTCATGATAAAATATCTAGTGAAAGAAACCTTGGCTCTAAATCAGTTATATTAGAAGATGTAGAAGAAAAGCCAGAGGGTGAACATGAAGGAGATGAAGAAACAAAAGGTGAACGTGAAGAACATGAGCATAAGGTTGTTGACGGTGAAAAAGTGAGTGAAGTACACGATGATTATGATAATGAAGAAAAAGAAAACGGAAATAAAGTAGATAAAACAGATGATGATTAAAAACATGAGGAAGTATCATAAGAAATAAATTTTCTTTAATAAATATTGATTTAGACTCAATTATATTTTTCTAAATCATATATTGTCTTTAATAATAATAAATAATTTATATCATTCGCTTGTTTTATTTTTGGTTTTACTTTAATGAGAATAGAATAATTATTATTTTCAGAAAAGCTCAATGTTCCAACTTTTAAATTATATTTTCATAAGATTTTCTCATCTATACATAATAATAAAATTGTAACTAAACCGAATCTGTATTATTATTACTAGTAATATTTTTTGTAAAATCTTATTGAAATGTACATTATTATCGATACAGAGGCCGAATCTCTCATTTTTAGAATTTTTGTCTGTCTGTCTACCTGTCTGTCTGTGACCGCATCATGGAAAAACCACTGGAGGGATTCAGATGGGTCTGATTAAAGCTAGTATCGTATATGCATGCAATGAAAATTAATTTTTATTTATTTATTCCCTTCCATTTCATGTATCCACTTCCCTTTTTATATATACTCATAATTACGATATGATTTTTAATAGGGTCAAGCAGTAGAACTCGCAGCATGTGAGTGTACCGCTCGTCCGTGGGCGGGAGACTCGTCGATGGTGGTGGCAGAGATTGGCGCCAGGTGTAGATGTGGATGTGTCTTGCACTTGGCTCCAGCGGCCAGACTGCTCGCGGGATCAGCCAGGGCTTGTCCTTCGAGGTCGTTCTGGTTGTTACAGGTGAGTTAAGCAGAAGTCAAATATTAACAAATGGAGAAAAATTAAAAAAAAACAGCAATGCTTTTTTGAATAGGCAATTACCGTATGTTAAACAATGCATAACATTTTCCGATCAACTAATGCTTACCAGTATTTGTATAGGCAATACAAAAATTTACTTCAGAGGAGAATCAAATCCATCAAGCTTGTCAATATTTTAGACATTGCTTCCTAATAACTATTAAAATTACTTAAGCGGCGATAGGTAGCGAATATGTCTTTGTTAATCTATACATATAATTAAAAATTCTAACTGAGTTGGATCTGTACAAAAAATATTTTTTTGGAAAATCCTTTGACTACCTTATCATTAATATCGATACAGATGCCAAAACTGTAGGTTTTAGAATTATTGTCTCTGTCTATTTGTCTGTCTGTCTATCAAGGAACGCATCACGAGAAAACCACTTGACACCTTTTGATGACATTTGGTATGATGATAGCTATGTACCCGGGTCAACATATAGGATACTTTTTACTGCGGGAAAATATCTCATATCTGAGAAATCTATACTATCCGTTAAAAACGAAGAGACGAACCTGAGCGGATCGAGGGTGAGTCCCTAGTTAACTATAAATTTTACTCAAATTGTCTTAAACCGTTACAGCATCAAAAAGAAACAAACACACTCAGTCCCAACAGTCGCATTTACATATAATTAATAATATAATAAACTGAAATTATTAACAGCTATAATAATATTCTGTACCTGAACAAATATTAACTATAGTGTTAGGCATAATTTGCATGATGTTAAAATATAAATAACTTACTAAGTATACTCGTAGCTATCGAAATGTGACATATTATGTATGTTTACGATCATTAGTCACGTATTAACGATTCTTATCATAGTTTCCAGGCATCGAGTGAGTGTTTTTGAGCAAATTCAACAATATACATAATATACAACAATATAATATATATATAATATACAACATTAAAATAGTCTATAATTTTTGGACTTTTAATATTATTTAGCAACTGGTGAAATTTTTATGGCTTTCAAATAAGGCGCTATTTTTTTACATAAATTTCCACTTGTTTTATATAAGCAATCTAGCCATTGCTTATTCACGGAGAAACAGTTCAACTCTACATATTTATATATATATAACAGTATAGACATCAACATTATTGAATATAAACGTTTTAAGAGCTCGCTATCGAGTATCGAGCTTACGTGCTTTAATACTGATTTAGTTGCGTTCAAATTACACTAACAGTCTAACAAGTTTCGTTCAACAATATACAGGTGCATGTATCGCTAACAAAGTTACCTGGATTTGTGGTTTAACGTGATTTGATGCTATTACAGAGCGTGCAGAGGTTAAACTTTAGTGTTAAAATTTATGACAATATATGTACGTCTGAACGTATAGTTTTGATACTTTCTTTTAAATTACTATTGTAGATGACTAGTGATATATACGTGCTTCACTCCAGTGCCTTCTATATTTAAAAAATATATACAGGCAACTCTACCTTTCGTCAAATTATATTGTTAACAGCCTATGGTTCCAAGTCATAGCTCATCCGTGTTCTGAATTACATTCAAATCTGTCTAGTCGTTTCAACGTAAGGGAATGATAAACGTACTTACATGCTCGACACACATACAAATTTCACATTTATATTAGATATTAAGTTTTTACTGAGATTAGATATTAAGTAAATTGTACAAGATTATTTTTCGGACGAAGATAATCTACTCTGAAGAATCTCTCTATCTAATAGGTAATCTGAATCTATAATAGCGAAATATTATCAAGGGGTATTTTATTGTGGAGATTTTTAGAAACTGTTGTTTTATAGGGAGTTAGCGACTCGTCCTTGCTCCGCTCGAGTTCGTAGGTACGTTTTAACGGTTACGGTATTGTACATAAATATGATGAGGTGTTGTGTGTTGTTTTATAACGTGTTTTCCCGTGGAAATGAGATTATCTCCCGCGGTAAAAAGTATCTATAAAAAATCCAAAAAAATATATCGCGGTAAAGTACCTTTGTCACTTTCTAGCCCTCCAACTACATATCTCCACACAAAAAATCACGACAAGCCGTCACTCTGTTTCGAAATGAAAAAAGGACAAATAAACACACTTTCACATTTATAATATTTGTATGGATTATACTTGTATCATTACACTTCTGAATAGTGTCATTTACATCGATGAAAATTTTAAAAAGTAATGTATTTATAGTTAAAGTAGTTTATTTGAATGCAATTCGTTTCATCACTTCAGGGTTTTTCTATTTATGTGCCTTTACAAATAAATAAATATTTTATTACTAGTGACTCACTCTCGCTTCGCTCGGGTTCGTCCCTACTTGCGTTTTAAGGTTTAGTAACGATTTCTCAGAGGTGAGATATTTTCCCGCAGTAAAAAGTATCTTATATGTTGACTCGGATAACCAGCTATCATCATACCAAATTTCCTCAAAATCAAATCCCTCCAGTGGTTTTTCCGTGATGCGTAACAGACAGACAGACAAAAATTCTAAAAACTATAGATTCGGCCTCTGTATCGATAATAATATCTATTTCAATAAGATTTTCCAAAAAATATTTAATGTACAGATTCGGCTTAGTTACAATTTTATTATAGGTATGTATAGATTTTATTCCAATAAAGTGATGCTGTCAACAATTTTCTCAAATTCAATTACACAAAACGAAGGGTTTGACACAATGAAAGTTAAATTGATTCGAGCAACACTAACGGACATCAAAACTTCTCAATTTCCATCGATCGACGATAACTGAACAACGGCTCAGCAACTTGTTATGTTTAGTTTCCTGGCAAATTCAATAATTTTGCGGAAGCTACGAAATCGTAAATTTACGTAGAGCCATTAGTTTCGCTATAAATTCACGACGAGAGCGCTTTTACACTCTGGTATCGAGTCGCAAAGAGATTTACATGTTTTAAAGCGATGTATAAAGTTTTATAACAAAATTAAATTGTTTTGCTATTGAATTACGACTTCGAAAACTTCTATTATTGAATTTATTATTGTAAATTATATGTAAATGTCAAGCCTATAGTCCCTTTTGACAATATATTTAAATCCCATTTGTTGAGGAGCAATAATAGTGACCAAAGTTAATTTTAGGTCTATTTACAGTCTATAAGGAAAAATTTAATTAAAAATTTAAAAAACCTAGGACACAAAAACCTAAGTCTTAAAAAGTAAAAAATAATAAAAAAATTCAATCTTAAAGTACCTAAGTATGTATTAATATATTAATTCTAAAAAAATACGCTTCATCCATTCGGGAGATATGATGCCACAGACAGACAGACAGACACACAGACAGACACGTCAAACTTATAACACATTTTTGCGTCGGGGGTTAAAAATTAACAAAATATGCAAAACATCCTTTGTTGTATGAAATATAATACTTTCGCGTATATCTTATCTTATAATATTATATGAGCAGTTCATACATAACCATATCCATACTAATGTTATAAATGTGAAAGTGTGTTTGTTTGTTTTTTTGTCCTTCTTTCGCGTCAAAACGTAGTAACAGATTGGCGTGATTTTTTGTATGAAGATAGGTGGACGGGTGGAGAGAGTGCGAGAGAGAGTGACATAGGCTACTTTTTGCTCCGGGAGATTATCTACTTTCCAGGGAAAAATAGTCATAACACAACTCAAAAAAATATTTATGATCAGAATTACTTGAAACTTGGTATTAGTGCTCTTCAATACAATTAAATAAATATGTGTTTAATTTTAAAAATTTAATTCTAACGTTTTTCCAAATTCATCCTATAAGGGGGTAAAATAAGGGATAAAAGTTTGTATGAAACCTACCTTTTTAGAGATTTTTTTGTAGTTTTAGAGCGAGTGAAGCTGCGGGTTATGCTAGTATTACATAAATTTATTTCGTGTATCTCGGAAACGGCTCTAGCGATTTGAAACAAATGTGCTTAGATAAGGTTTAGCTTTTTAAGTTTATCTATATAGGTTTCTTTTCTGAAAAGACGCAATTTTTATAAATTTTTCGAAAAAAGCTCAGTCGCTCAGGTACTTATATTGAAAGTAAGGATGTATATTGCAAATAAGTTATTAATCGACAAGTTAACTTTTAATATATTATTATTATTATATTCTAGATATATTTTAATAATCTTAATTAAAAATAGGATTAAAATAGATTAAAAAATGCCCTCTAGCCTGCATTCGGTTTAATTATAACCTCGCATATACGATTTATATTTAACCGGACTATTATGTACAAGTTTCAGAGATATTATATAAAAAAAAAAATTCCCAAACTTAGTAATATTAAAATTAAATTGTGAAATTGGCCACGAGTAATGGGATGGGCAATAAGCAACACATAATTAGAAGCACACTATGTAAAATAGAAAACTATATGATACATGTACGTACATACTCGTATATATATATATATATATATATATATATATATATATATCTTATTATCTGAATATCTTTGTATAAACAGACTAAAGTTTTAAAGAGCTATAAATATTTTTATAAAAAGTTATAATGTTGATCTCCATCAAAAGTTTACTCATTTTTTACTATTTGTTTTCGATAACATCAATCATAAACTACTGCAGCAGAAAAAGTGCCTACGCTTTTTATCGGAAATTGCGGTTAAGTTTTTTACTGAGATTCAAAACCTCCAGTCAAGCATTTCTTACTTGTCGAATTTTCCCAAATATGTTGAATCGAATAAGGGCGGGTCTAAAATAATCGCACACTCACCGGGTATATAAAATGAAGATCCTCTTAATATTAAGGGACTTTTAACCTTTTGAACTTTGTCTCTACGAAAACATACATACATATTGGAGGGTGTTTATTTATCTTCCGATTATTAGAATAGCGTAACATGTATCTATTTAAGGCAACAAATTAGAAAAATAATCGGACAAATGCGAGTCTGACTCGCACACTAAGGATTCCGTAATATGAAACATTAAAATAAGTTTATTATCGCATTTTTTGTGATGTAACTATAGATTTACGATTTTCGAATTTTCCCTTTATTTTTGCTATAATACATTGCATCTCGACAAATTTCATCAGTCTAGGTCAATGGGAAGTACCCTAAAAGGTTTGATTCTTGCGAGTGTCAAAATTTGTGGCACAGAGTTGTATCTTTTGATTTCGTTGACTTAGAAGTTTGATTTTTTCACAAATTGAATGGATTGCAGACTTGAATATTTGATATTAATTTCAACTTTATATCTCCACGGGTTCCAAAAAAATGATCTTGACAGACAGATAGACTGACGGACGGACAACGACGTGATCCTATAAGGGTTACATTTTCCTTTTGAGATACGGAACCCTAAAAAAACAAATTAGTCATCACAGAGATCCAAATATCACTTAATCTATATAATTTAGATTAAAATTTATAATTTGGAAAGTTAGCTTTATTACCACAATTGTCTTACGACGTTAGTGTCCGCATCTAACGACACAGATTAAACTGAACGCTATAATTAAATTTAACGGAAGGACAATCCATGAAACCGGTATAGATAATATAGGAGAAAGTTTATGCGGCTACGTTTCGGATATGGTTTTTTTCCGGCTTAGCTCCCATTCTCCCATTGTTAGTATTAGTACCATCGATCTAAGTCTATTGATTCAGAAGTAATTTCGAACTCTACTAGAATCTTTTAGAGCATGAATAGTTCATAAACACACTGACTCACAATCTTTTACATTTAAGAAGTTAATGTAATAACAAATTTCAATAGATAAATGTTTCTATTCATCCTTTACTAATTACATATAGGCGAAAACGTGTTTGTGCGGTTTGTCTATTTTCACACGCCACAGAGTAAGGGATCAATTGATTGTGATTTCTCGCTTATACATGATTGATTGATTGAAGAGGATTAAGGAGTGGCATAGGCTATGTTCGAGGCTTTACCTTGTTTCTTACATTATAGAAAAAGTTGAATAAAATATTAAAAATATGTTTTATTTTATGTTTGTCTTCTATACGTTCATAAAATATTAACCCGATTATGATGAAACTTTGATAAGTTGTTCTGTGTCCATCTGCTAAGGTTCCTGGCCAAAAATAATAATATTTTGTTATATATGTATATATATTGTGTTTATATGTATTTTACTAGCATTGCCCGCGGCTCCGCCCGTGTTCAGATGACCAAAACGCAAATTCTTAGATTTTACATATTAATATACTCTTACAATGCAGTTTTTGTATTTTTTCTCAGAAATGAGATATTTTCCCGCGATAAAAAGTATCAAAATCCCTCCAGTGGTATTTGTGTGATGCGGTAACAGACAGACAGACAAAAATTCTAAAATTTATAGATTCGGCCTCTGTATCGATAATAATGTCTATTTCAATAAGATTTTCCAAAAAATATTTAATGTACAGATTCGGCTTAGTTACAATTTTATTATATGTATAGATATATGTATATATCTAGGGATGTATCCGAGCAAAGTGAAGATATGCCGCTAGCATATAATGAAGCTCAATTTTAAATTTGGAACGAAAAGAAGTATTCAATTTTTATAATTCAATTCATGTCTCTTGTTAATGGCTTCAAAGCCAGTTGAATACGATTACTTCACCAATTCAACATTTTCTTTTTTTTCATAGGCAGAAGAAGGTCTTTCAGTTCGTTTACGTTTTGAAGCAGTGAAGCTACCCTGCACTGGACAAGCTCTCCTCGCCAGAGATGGGGACTCTCTTGGATCTCCGCTACTAGCATCTTGGGAAGGACCGGATAGTTCTGCTGTGGTATGATATATTTACAGAATAGCATTAAATTTATTTACATTAATATAATAATAAAATGGAAATATTACGAACAATAAAAGAAAAAATAAAGCTAGAATGTGAGCACCCAACTTCCTCTTTCTAGTGGCAAATTTATATCAAATCAAAATCAAATTAAAATATACTTTATTCAAATAGACTTTATAAGCACTTTAAATCGTCACTTTTACATTATTAAAATTTAAATTAAATATCAGTAAGTCAGAGAGGGATGTACCAACCATGTACTGAATATACCAACTATGTACTGCTTTTGTACAGCAAACCTAAAAGTTATTTTCGACGGTATAGATAGTTGAAACTTCTTTTTAAATACATGGCAATCTCCCTTTTTCTATTTCTACTTGGCAATTGATTTGACAATAAAAATTTGAAAGAGGGTCAGAAACTATATTTTTAAAGTACGCTTAAACTCATTCGTATCTTCCTCACAATACGTGATACTGGCAGAATGCATTGCGTCTGTTGACGTAACTCTAAGCAATTAAAGAAAAAAAAGGTAAAGACAGCTCAGTCATTTTGAGACAATACGCTAAATTATTATATTAAAGCGGAGAGAATTTAAACAGATATATTTTTTCATAGCGGTGCAATATAAAATCAATGGAATGACTACACGTTTGGTTCAGTTTGTAGTGACCCTACTTGGTGTGCCAGCTGTCGCGGGTTCGAGTCCCGCTAGGGGTATTCATCTGTGTGATGAGCACGAATGTTTGTACTCCAATCATGGGTGTTTATATTTATATTATGTATGTATTTATAGTTATATATTATGTGTAGTGTATCAACGCTCTAGTATCCATTTATTTATTTAAGATAATGATAGTACAAAACTAATGTATTATTTTATTCACAGGCGGAAGATGTAGAAACCACTACAGATAGCGGCGGCGTGATTGAAATAGCGGGCGGAAGACACATCCTTGTGGAACTCCGTTCGGGGGACACGAACGAGCGTTGCGCCGGCGGCTTCTTAGCACACGCATCACAATCTGGTACGTTACTCGAATAAAATCTTAATATAAACAGTCTATATATTTAGTTTTTTAACTGCCTCGGTGGTGTAGTGGGTAGCAACTACGGCTGCACACCCGGAGGTCCTGGGTTCTAGTCCCGGGTCGGGCCAAGATTAGTTATTGAGTCTTTCTGTATAGTAAGTCTCAGTAACAGCCCGGAGTTGGAAAGTTGGCATTGTTTCACCCCCGTGCCTCGGAGAGCACGTAAAACCGTCGGTCCTGCGCCTTAACTCTCACCGGTCGTGTCGAGCAGTCGTCCCACCGGAGTATGAGAGTGACAGGAATAGAGAGTGCACTTGTGTCTGCGCGTACACTTGTGCACTATTATATCTCCTGCGCAGTTGGCTAGTCTCAATGAGATTGGCCGCCGTGGCCGGAATCGGTCAGGAGAACATCATCATATTTAGTTTAGTCAACAGGACTAAAAACGTGTTAATTCTTGCCAATACGAATTTAAATACGATCTCGTCAGATTCGTTATGATGTCTGGATGCTGTCTGTATCAACTGTATAATGAACTTTAAAACATTTAAAATCTTAGTCTCTCCTGTCATAATTGCTATACTTACATGACATCGGGAACCAAAAATCAAAATAAATCTACTTTAGATACTTCAATGGGGTACTGTACTCAGACCTATATAAAATATTTATTTACTATTTACATATAAGCATGAGGCGTGGAATAAAGGGCTTATTTATTAAAAACTAATAATAAATATATTTTAAACAGAATATATAATAATATTTTAAACAGAAGCAATCCACAACACATCAGCGGCGTACGCGTCTATAAGCAGTGGGTGGTGGCGCGGCGGCGGCGGCGCGAGGACGGCGGCCGCGACACTCGCGGCATTCGCTGCACTAGCTGCACTAGCACTTGCTGCCCACTCTGCCCATAGAACGAGGGCGTACCAACGTGCTGCTGATAAGGAATCCCTTACTGATAGCGATGGTAATATTAACTGTTTTATCTTTTTTTCTATATTATGTATATATCCATTTAATGATTGAGCTTTAGCACTCACTGCTCAGTCTGCTCATAAAAGGGTGTATTAACATGCTGCTGATAAAGAATCGCTTACTGATAGTGATAGTGTTTTTTTTTCTATACGTATGGTCTAGTGGCTAGCATGTATAGCTGCAGGTGCTGAGGTCCTGGATTCGAATTCTGGGTCGGTCCTCACTAAGATTTTCTGTTAAGATATTCTCAGTAGTTGCCCGGAGTTGGAATCTTGGCGGCGTTTCAACCCCGTGCCCCGGAAACCACGTAAAGCCGTCGATCCTGAGACTTAACTCTCACTGGTTATGTCGAAGTATCATCCTATCGGACTTGAGATCGGACTTTGAGAGTGGCAGAAATTGTAGAGAGTGCACGTTGTTTTTCACAATTTGTGTTGTGTTTGTTGGTCGGTTCACGGACCAATGGTTGGAAAATGTTTTTCTTTAGATATTTTTCAAAATTATAACTTTTATTTCATATTAATTAATCAAATTTGCTATTAACAGGGCAAAAATGCAATGGTACTACAATACCTATACAATACCTACTTTACTATAATATAAAACAAACACACGCTCAATTATTAACAAAAACGATAAAATATTCCCTGAGCGGTAAACTTCCTGTGTAAGAAAAGAAATACGGCATCTTTTACATTTTACATTGTTACTGTACCCTTTCTTTAACGAATAACAAATACGTTACAGCAATAAACATACGTATATTACTATTGCCTTTGTACTCCTTTATTTTTACCGTATAAATTATTCTTTTCCTGATACTTAAAGTGGTAGCCCTTAGTTTGGAGTTTAATGGGTTCGCTTGAGAAGCTAAGTAAAATAGGTTTTAACTATAATCAAAGTGACAACATGTATGACAATATTTTCATCAACATGTTGTACCTGACAACTGGCTAGAAAAATGAATGAAAACATCTAAAAAAACCTGCATGTCTGAGAGAACCTCTAAAGTTTGCGCAATACATACGAAGTCTACCAAACTACGCTTGACCAGTGTGGTGAACTATAAATCTTTTTTTTAACGTTTGGGCATACCACCTGCATACATATAGATGGTTTGTGGGACTCAACGGCTAGAAAAGCCAGTATTAACCACCAAAACCCAACGGATCCTCCCCCGTTCTAATGGAGCGTCACAGGATTGCTTACGCATTCAACCACTGGTGGACTATTACCCTAATCTCCGTCATATCTTCATGAGTGAGACTTTGAAAGAGCTGAATTAATATCACTATATATTATAAATTAAAGTTCCCCGCCGTGCAGAATGTGTGTTTGTTTGGGCTAATCTCAGAAACTTCTATATGGTTTTTAATATGGCTATTACTAATATGAAGAGGAATCTCAAAAAGTTATATGCTATAATAATTTATATACAAATGTAGCAGAACCCTCGGCTTCGCCCGCGTTTAATCTACAAAAAAAAACTATTGCTTTTTGTTATATAGCGACTCACCCTCGCTTCGCTCGGGTTCGTCCCTGTCTATTTATATATTATTTGGAAATTATTAATATAAAAATACTAAAATCGCGTTTAAAAAATGGGGGGTTGGGATAGTAGGGTTAAAAAGACTTTACGACCTATTCTCATACCTTTTTTTTTAACGTTGGGAAATGCATTTACGCACGAGGTGTGGGACTCACCGGCGTAATAAAGCCAGTACTACCCTCTAAAACCCAACAAAACCTTCTTCCGTCTTAATGGGGCGTCGCAGGATCGCTTACGCATTCAACTACGACGCCCCGACGGCAGGTCTGCCGAAGCAGACCACCACAACCATGGGGTTACTCCAAGGTCCACTCTGCTATCAGAGAAGTACCTGGAGCAACCCGCATGGTACACCGCCCACCAAAGAGGGCCATCTCCCACCACCCACCGAAGTGGGTCACCTCCCTGTGCGTTTCTTGGCTTCGCGCCAGGTTGGATTGCCGGGCACTACTGAGCCCCCTCACCACGACAAGATGAACGCATGTTGGGGGGGGGGCTATTCTCATACCTACCAAATATACAAAAAAAAATCATTAAAATCGGTCGAGTCGTTTCGAAGGAGTGCGACCACAAACACCGTGACACGAGATATTTATATATTAGATTTGCAAAAAACTTGTGCAGTTCTCCACGTTCAAACGGCTGAGCGGATTAAGATGAAATTAAGTAAACAAATAAACTAAGACCTGGAGTAGCACATAGGCTACCGTTTAGCATTTAGAGACGTATCTAAGCAAAGGAAAGGTAAATCGATAGTGATGTTATAAGGTTGTAGTATTATTTTAATCAATTATTATTCTATTTTTAGCCTGTTCGGCGTCTCTAGAGCTCGGGGGCGCTACCACTGGTTCTCGTAGCACATTATTATCTGAAGTAGTGGGTGGAGGCGTGTGCTTGCGACGGCTGCTCCCGGGTCGTACGAGACACACTCGCTTACGAGACTCTGATAGAACTTCAGAAAATGTTGAAACTAGGTATGTGAAGTGGATTATATAAATACATTATTATATTACTAGATTGTCTTTAGCGTAAATTTATTTACCTATCGTATTATTTTTTTTTAATTTATATATTTTTTACTGAGCATGTTTTTATGTTTTATTGTTAGTATTGTTTATTTCTTATTGTTATATAAATAAACTTTCCTCGTGACAAAAACTGTATCAAAATCTGATGCGTGGTTTTGAAGAAGTAAGCGGGTAACACTTTTATACTATGTATACGTAAGTTTTTGCATATTCCGCACTAAATTGTTAAATATGTTACCCCGCTTCTGAAATGTTTTGTATAATAGGTCATTGTAATTTTTGTATGAATAAAAACTCTTATTGTATTTTCCCGTGGCAATGAGAGATTTTCCTGTAGTAAAAGATTATTCTAATTGTTGATCCGAGTTTGAAAACTCGTTTCAATGATTACTACAGCATATTTAGTTAAAAACCGTTTAATATTTTTCTCGAAAATTAAACAAAACATACAGACAAACAGACAAAAATCTCAAAAACTATGGTTTTGGGTCTCAACAACTATTCTGTGCGCAATACGGATAATCATTGTTTTTAAAAATATATTCACGTACAGATTACGGTTTGTTACTATTTCATTATATTATGTATAGATTTGCACAAACGACAGCATGTTCGTAAACGTCAAAGCAAATATGCAAATAGATATTTGAATTCGAAAAGGTGGAAACTATTATTATACAACGCGACCAAAAATATACAACAAAAATGTATCAAAAATTGTTTTACTTTTTTTGCAAACACTACTCGGTACATTTTTACGCCTCACCTTTCTCTCGTACGGCGTGAAATGTGTCACACGGAAACTAGCATTCGCGATTTTTAAAGTGATCGACACTTCCTTTGGTTTTTCCCGCCTTTTTTACCATTAAATAATATTATTTAATATTGTAACTTATCTAGTCTTAACAACAATTACATAATATACAGGGTCATTTTTAATTTACTGAAAACTTTTTGGGAATATACTATTTACATCATAACATCTGTGAGAAAAAAATATATATATATATTACTAAAAATTGTATTTCAATACAAAAATAAAAATATTTTTACTGCACCTTCTAAACGGCATCTGGTCAAGTTTAAATGAGTAATCACCACCTACTACACCCCTCCACCCCTCCCACTCCACCGGCCAAGCGCTTTCTTTTGCTAATGCTGGACTATTACCATTTAGAAGGTGCAATAAAAATATTTTTATTTTTTGTAAAATTTAAGAAATATTATTTTTTTTCTTACAGATGTTGTTGTTATGATGTAAATAGTATATTCCCAAAAGGTTTTCAGTAAATCAAAAATGACCCTGTATATAAAATATTGTAACAAATTCGTTTTTAATATCTATAATTTAGTGAATTTTATATTTAATCAACACTAGCTAGCACTAACAGTACAAAATATGCGTCATTATAGAAGTAAAGTGATAATTAACACGCAATCGGCGCCCCATGGATACGTGTTTGAACAATGCCACTACGCGACTCTCACTAATTACATACTCAAGCGTGTATGGTTTGTTTTGAAATCTCTTTAACGACAGCAATAACTTCGTTTTGTTAAAACAAGTATATCATGGGGTTGAGGGTTTTATATAAAGCGCCCTCGCTAGGCCTTTGTCTTAATGTCAGTCTGTTTCTTACTTGTTGTCATTATTTAATTTAAAATTTTGTCAAAAGGTGTACAAGGGTACAAGGTGTAATACTACGAAATTACTATAAATACATACTATGTATAAATAAAGAGTAATCATAAGCAATAAACCACGTTATTCTTTTGCTATATCAAAGAAAAATAAAAAAAAACAAAAACTTTTATATTTATAATAGGTAAGTGTTAAGGAATATTATCTTCTCATACTTCTACAATAAAACAGAGATGAAGAAGACCATACAGACGCAGAAGCAGACATCCCAGATAATATAAGCGTGGCGAGTGCTGGCAGTGCTACCAGCCAGGCGACGGTCACTCCAGAGAATGTGTCTTCAAGTAGCGCGCCCGCCGCCACCGGCTCCGGGACTATAACGCATTCGACGTTAAGAAGATCACATACAGTGTCTAACACACACGTGCCTCAGGTACATAATAGTAATCTTCTAAAACCTTAGTATTTCCCGTGACCAATATTGCTGTAAAGCATTCGAAACGGCGGGAACCAAAAATCTAATGTAATATCTGCGAGAAAAACCGAAAAGTTTTGTTTATTTTAAAATGTGTTATTTATTTTAAAATGTCAAATATTTTCGTAAATCTAAGAAAGTATACTCGTATTTCCTTTTTTACCGATCATTTTATATATAACGTGCATTCTCCATTCTACGCGACATTGGCGAAGTAAATTGTGCCCAAAGGCACTCCTAGAAGCCATAAACCTAAAGAATTGATTGATTGAAAGTATATTGGCCGAATTAAAAAAGTTTGTGACGTTGTAGAGGGTAATCTCTGGATCTACAGAACCAATTTAGATGAAATTTGGTAAGAAGATAGTTTGAGACTCTGGAAAGGACATAGGATACTTTTTATCCCGGAAATCATTCCTTAAGGGGGTGAAAATGGGGACGAAAGTTTGTTTGGGGAACCAACCTAGGGATGAAGCCGAGCGAAGCGAGGGTGAGACGCTAGTATATATTTACAAGTATCGGTCTTCACATACGTATATACCAATTACAGTACTGCAGTGCATATGCGCAATCACAGATGCACTCTATATTTTTACGGGTATTACATATATTTTTGCGTAGTCCGGTGTAATAGCAATTAGCTCCGGTTAGAGAGAAATCTGAACCACGTTTATACGTTTGTCGTCACTGAAAATGTTTTTGTTTGTCAAATAAAATATTTTGTATTTTTTACCTTTATGTCCGGAATATTTTTAAAGTAGCGACCACCAACCATCTGGGGGAATGTGGTAGAAATATCACAAAATTTTTGTCAAAAAAATTTACGTGATTTTTCATGTATAAATTATAATGTTAGCATGTTTAAATTACATATATAAGTCTTTCATATACGACAATAAGGAGGACAAAGGAAGATTTAATACTTATAAAAAAAAGTTTGGAATATATAAAATAGCATGAATAACAAAACGTTAACCAAAAAAATATTATTATATTAATTGAATAACATCATCTACTCGTAGGTGACGTCACCCCCACAACCGTCGACAAGCGAGGCGGTTACAGCGGAAATGCACACTAGCACCACCAGTGTGAGTGAAAGAGACAGCTGCAGTGAGAAGGACCGCGACAGTGTGTGGGAAAAGGACAGATGTACCAGCCGAGCGTCCTCGTCTGTCTCCGCCGCGACCCTTACTAATGTGATATACATAATATATCCTTTATAATAAATAACACTATATTTAATAACTATAACTAACTTCTTCCTTTATTTTTATTTCACTTTTTACACAGTTTCTTCAATTATTATTTTTCTTTGAGTATTACGCATTTCTTATATTTATTTAAAAAAAATATGAAGTAAACTATCTCTCTTAATTATAAGCTAGGCTTAACTACACCCCACCCATAGTACCTCTATTGGATTTTATTGATAGAGCAGAACCGATAAAAACGAACACACAAACATACACATACTCTATAACATATATTTCCATTTTCATGTTCAGGGCTGGTATTCCCCAGCTCTCAGTGGCGTATCTTCGGCCAGGATCAGAGATAATCCCAAGCATAACAAGGAGACGTGCAACCGACGTCTGCTCCGGTCTGACCTCAGCCTCACATCCCACCCGGAGATGGAGATCGATTATTATGATTACGAAGTTAATAATGCAGGTAAGTAGCGCTAATTAATGAAATATATAATGGGTAAGAATATATAATATTAATGATATATTTATTCAGAGCTCCTTTACGTCCCACTGTTGGGCAAGGGCCACCCTTAAATGCAAGGGGATCAGGCAATAGTCCACCACGCTGGCCAAACGCGCATGCTTTCGAAAACTTGCTAGATTCTCTCAGACATGCAGGTTTCCTCGCGTTGTTTTCCTTCGCACATGAAAATATCAAAGGTGCAAGAATCGGGATTTGAACACGTTTCAATAACATATAATATCTAAAACCATATTTTTTAGAATTTTTGTCTGTCTATCCGATTGGATTTCAATACTTAGACGACAATTCTTTGACAATTAATAAATTCGATTAAATCTAGAACAGTTTGAGTTTTCCTACTTATGTTTATACATACGTTGTTCGCTGCCATATAATTCGTTATTTAGCAAGCTTTATATGACTCAGGAATAAAAATTAAGAAACAATTTTTTTTTTATCTTTTATTTTCTTATTTTTTATTTTATTGTTGAAATATTTTTAAACCTATTTATAAAAAAATATATTATAAAAATCACTAAATTCAGCTAGATTGAGTACTTTCTCTTATTTGGAGTCGTTTCTGAGCACGTTATTTCCACGTCAGTGCTTGAATGAAAGAATAAGCATTTCGCGTTTACATTAAAAGCTGTGAAGACGAAGAAATCTTTAATCGATAAATTTATTTCTTGTAAAAATCCATGCTGAAAGTTGATAAGATACATTGTTTCAGGTTCTGTACCAGGTTCATATCTCGGCATGGATCCGGCGTTCCTCGTGTGGATACCGCCTATAGAAGAGGGCGATATTATTGATGAGATGGATAAAAACAATATTTATGAGGTATTCATTATTTCTAGGACATTAATTGTATCTTTATTTCACTTATACATAATAATATAATAAATTAATAATTTTAATGCTAAAAGGTTAAATATAAATTTAAAAAAAAAAAACAAGAATACATACAGACGTACATAAAACCTCCTCCTTTTTAAAAGTCGGTTAAAACTGCCTGCGTCTGCGAGTTTAAATTAGTTACCTCAATGTGTGCTCAAATGGTTGTTTGCACAATACTTAAGCAAATAAAAACAATTAAAATTCTTTATCTAATTTTAAGTGTTTACTCTATCACGCTAAGGGCATATATTTTATAATAATTAGCTATAAATATTATTATTTACAATTTAATTGTTCGCAGGAAGTTGTACCAAAGGACCTACGTCCTGACCCAGGCAGCAACACGGAATCTCCGGAAGAAAAGCCATCAGCCACTCTCAAACGATCTAACAATCGCTCAAACAAATCAAACGAATCAATTAAATCAATTAACAAAGTAATCGATCGAAGTAACATAATACACCCACTTAACTTCAGTATAAGTGATCTACATTCACCAAAACTACCAAAGAGGAATAAGAAGAAAACAGAAGTATCGATACCAATGAAGGATTTGACCCTCAAAATGTCCCCAGTAAAAGTACACAGACGAGATAATAGAGACAATCGAGAAGATAATTCATCGACTCTCAAACGAGTAAACGATACTAGAGAAAAAGATGACACGTTAAAAAGAACAACAGATTTCAATGATATCAAATTCGCAGACGATTCAGAATCGTCCAATGATATCATATTTGCTGATGATTCTCCCGATAGTAATCGGTATAACGATAAATATGAAGTTAGAGCTTAAGTGACGTGAACACCTTATGTTGCCGAATTCCCATAAACGATTATTTCTTTTTGGTTAGAACACAATTTAGTGATTTGGATGTTGGATTTGTCATAGAAAATGTGGCTGTTTATAGACTTTGAAAATATAGTTCGGATGAGCAATTTTACATGTATGAATCATACATCGTGCCATTTAGTCTCTTAACCCTAGTAGTTGTATGTAAGGACCAAAACACACCCTGTTAACTCCATATCGTCTTCATATTCATAATATTATATATTTTTCAAAATCGTATCCACTTATATATCGTAGAGTCATATGTCTTGAACGAGTCGTGGTCTCAGACTGCTTTTTTTAGAACGTTTTAACACTTATTAACAATAAAGAAAATTACAAATATACTTAATTATATATATTAAACAAATGTACACTTAGTTATTACTGTACAAGTCATGTCCGCGTGGAATAGTGGCAAGAATGCTAACCGCATTCCCCCGCTGAATGGTAATGCCAATTCTTGAGGCGAAAAACGAGTCAGCTCTCTTGTCAGTAGAAGCGATAAAAATTAACTCTCGATTTCTTTTAATATTTTCATGCCCCAAATCTGCTTCAAAAAGGGAAATAAGCAATTGTCACACTACGATTTTGATCGCTTATTAGATATTGTTTAAAACTATAATACTATATAAAAGCAGCTTAACTCCTGCACTAGTCAGTTTTTCGTTTTTTAGTGTTTCTTAATTAATAAAAAAGCTATGAAAAATAAAATAAACAATATATTAATAACCAACTTGAAAAAAAGAGAATATCTGTAGCAATTTACTCAATTTTTATGAAGCCCTTTGAGAACCTCGACACGACTAAGACTTAAAGTATATTAAATTAGAGTTTTATAATCAAACTATTTAATGACTGTTTAGAATATCTTCATCTCAACGTTTTTCATTATTTCATAAAAATATCATTTAACTTTCAATATATAATTTCAATTTGCACTGTAACAAAATTCTGCATTTTCTTTTAAACTTTAGAAGACTGAACTCGGGCAGTGCAATATTTTGCTTGAGAACTCTGACAAATATGCGTTAGTTCATCTTTATGATATTGTATGGAATATCTTCAGATATATGTTAAGATAACTCAATGTTATTAGTATGATTGTATGTATGTATTTGACGTTATAATTTACGATATAGTCCAGTTAATAAAGTAATTTTCTTTGAATTGGAGATAAAATTATTTTGATTTAAATATATTAATTTGTTTTGACTTATAATGGCTCCTTTAGAATTTGGTTGCTATGGTAACCAAAGTTACAGACAGACTAAATGTTAAAATGTATTGTAAAACAATATTATAGAAGTAAATGCACATTTTTTTGGGTAAAACTAGCCCTTTCGTTATCTGTAGAGGCGATATGATGAGATATTATTGTCTTTAAGAACTTTTAAGCATTTCGACTCTATGGGTTCCTATAGCAAATAGTATAATAAAATAATTTAGCATATTTTAAATTTCATTTTAAGTACTGACTGGACTATTATTTTATATTTATTTACAGAATAAATTTTACACAAAATGTTTACCAATATTTTTAATTAGATCACAATATGGTTTCTAGTCGTAATTTTAAGGCACAATTTGTTTTGTTACTAATTTATTTATTAATTAAAAAAAACCACTGCATTTATTAATTTATTGTAAATTATTGTAGATTTAAGAATATAATGTTAACTTTTCTTTTATGTTCTTTATTAAGAAATATAAAAGTAAGTAAAAATGACAGTATTATTTTTTAATAAAATAAATAACTGGTTTTTATTTCTTTACTTTATTTTTATTTTATATAAATATTATTCTCTGTCTAGAATTGTATATAATTTTGAGAGATATGAAAACATTGTTTGACCGGTTTCGTTTAAAGTCAATAAATTCGTTTTAATTCTGTATTTGATATTGCTGTTTTATTTTTTCTCCAAACTAACAGATTCCTCTTGTAACACAATAATATAAAAATATAAGTAAAGAATTTATCCCAGCAACGGGAGTATAAAACAAGATAATATAATACATATAACAAAAGTGTAACTGATCGCTGTCTGTGCATGAAATATTTGAGAGAAACTATTATTGGCGCAATAGAACCCAAAACAATGATAATTTTTGTCTGTCTGTGCGTTTGTGCACGCTAATCTCAGAAACGGCTTAACCGATTTGAGTGCGGTTTTGTGGTAAGCTTCACTAAACATTTAGTATTTGTTTTATTTCTATTGTTTCATAAATTAAAAAAATATGTCAATTTAAAAAATCCCCTAGGAACGAACACGAGGGAAGCGAGGGTGAGTCGCTAGTATAAAATATGATTTCATGGTTAAGTTATATATCTAAGCACCCTTAAAATATACTCGTAAATATATTATTTTACTTATAGTAGAAAATAAAGACATATTATAATTTCTGATTACAATCACTATTTGCGCAAGTTCGATTCTCGTACAATGTAAAGGTTTATAACAAATAATGATACAAATCTTTAAAAAATGGGCTTTATTTATATAGAAATGTTTTCGTCGTCCAAAAGAGTTACAATAATCTCTAATCGAGTACTTTAAGTCGTGATATCAAAGACATCACATACTGTGGCCGAATATTTTCGTTGGGATTAAAACACAATAGATAATAACACTCTTATATACTTTTTCTGTTTCTTCCCCCGCATGCTTGCCACCATCCAAGACGATACAATGCTCATGGTTAGAATACTCTATGCTGACCATAATTTTTAAGCTTTTTTATCAATTACTAACTCGAAAACAACGCGATGTAGGCGTTTGAATAAGAAGCGGTCAATGCGATTCAGGTATTTTTTTTAGTTACTTCATAAAACAATAATTGAAAGGAAACACTCACAAATATTGCTAGACTTAAAAAATGAAAAGGAAGACTTATAATCTGGAGGCTATTTAGGTTTTCGTACCCAAAGGACGCCAACGGGTCCCCATTACTAAGCCTTCGCTGTACGTCCATCTCTCTGTCAGCTAGCTGTATCTCATGAACTGTCATATATAGAGAGTTCAAATTTTCACAACGTTCATATTTCTATTACCGCTATAACAGCAGATAATAAAATACTGAGATGGCGAAAATCAAAATGGCCGTCATGCAAATTAAAAAAAACGATTAGTACATAGTGTAATATTTTGTACGCTAATATAGAACCCTTTGTGTGCGACTTCGACTCGCACTTGACCGTTCTTTTTTAAATATTACGGAAATTTGTAATTAAAAAGAATTTTAAAAGACTAGCATTTCTTCAGCATTTTTAAAAACTTTTATTTACCTTGTAATGTTTGTTAGTTACTTAATATTATGTTTGTTTGTTTAGTTAAAATCTTGTTTTTCTAAAACACTGACGTTTTCAAACTAGTGACGGAATCATTACATGTACACAAGTGCTACGCTTTCATGCTGAATAAAATAGGTTTTCTTTGACTTTACAGTTACAAGGCCGAGAAAAGAGTGTAAGTTACATAATGCTCTTTTAACTACCTTCCAAAGGAAATAGCACGATGATATCTATACATATAATAAAATTCTAACTAAGCCGAATCTATTAAATAAAACTATCTTTTCGGATTATTTCGCGGATTTATTTTGATTTTTGGTTTTACCAAACCAAACCTCAATAAACAAGAGTATTTAGCGTTGAAGAACCTACGCAATAGGTCAGACATCACCGTTCTACGCGCAGACAAAGGAAATGCAACCGTTGTGATGGATACATCAGATTATAATGATAAAATAAAACAACTTTTGTCGGACGAGAGCACGTACAAAAAGGTTAAAACGGATCCAACTACCACCGTTTTAAATAATACTAAAAAGCTAATTAAGGAACACTCCGACACATTAAATCTTGATGTTAAAAATCTTATTCCATCATGTGCAAAACCACCTAAGTTGTATGGACTTCCGAAAATACACAAGACTAACGCTCCGCTACGTCCAATTGTGAGTCAAATCGACTCACCGACTTACAAATTGGCTAAACTAGTAGCAAAATTACTCTCACCACTCAGAGGATTAACAAGAGCGTTCACAAAGGACTCTTACCATTTTGTCAATGAAGTTAAACACCTAAAACTCATGGACAATGAAACAATGGTTAGTTTCGATGTACAGTCTTTATTTACCAGCCTACCAGTGGAAGACTGTATTGAAATAATATCTAGGAAGCTACTAGATCACAACATGTCAATAGAATACATTGAACTTTTAAAACACTGCCTAACATCCGGCTATCTACTGTGGAATGGTGAATTCTACAGGCAAGTGGATGGAGTAGCCATGGGTTCGCCAGTCTCCCCCGTCGTAGCCGACATCTTCATGGAGGACTTCGAGGAGACTGCTCTGAACACATCACCCGTGACCCCTCGTTTCTACAAGCGGTATGTAGATGACACTTTTACAATATTACCTTCTGATAAAATAACTGTATTCTTAGAACACCTTAATTCTATAAATCCTAAAATTCAATTTACAATGGAATTAGAATCGGACAAAACCTTAGCTTTCCTAGATGTATTAGTTAAACGTAACCCAGACAACACCTTGAGTCATACTGTGTATAGAAAGAAGACCCATACTGATAGGTACCTGAACGGTGAATCTCACCACCATCCTTCACAGTTAGCTACCGTGGGAAAATCTCTGTTTCAGAGAGCGCGCGGGATCTGTGACGAGCAACACCTGGCCGGAGAACTGCAACATGTCAAGCAAGTTCTGCGTGACAACAAGCTGCAAGTGCCGCGCCTGTGTCACAGTGACCGAGTGAAACCAGCCACAGTCGAGCGCGTCCCTGCAGTCTTGCCATACATGAAAGGAGTCACTGACAAGATTGGCTACATTCTAAAGCGAGCTTCAATTAAAACTTACTTCAAGCCGCCAAAGAAAATTAGTCAGTTCTTACCACCTGTCAAGTGCCACATCCCTCTACAAGATGCAGGAGTCTACAA